CAATCCCACCACCCTGCAAAGACTAGACAGAGGGATGCATCAGAACTTGCTGTAGATACTCAACTTCTACAATGAGAACACTTCTCTTTGATCTACCTAATTAGACTAGGAAAACTTGCAATCAAAGCAGTTTCACACTAGGCTGGGAAGTTCTGTAGGCTTTAGAGTCAGTGACGCAAAACCTGGCTGGGAACAAACATCACGAGCAGCTGGGACAGGTGGCCCAGGGCTCACGATTCCAAAGAGAGATGCATCCCGCTTCCGTGTTCTAAAAGCTACATGCACCATTCAGAGGGACCATCTGGAATCACTGAATCCCGACATAGTATACCTCAGATGTAGACGCCCCAAGTTTCTAAGTGTCAATGACTTATACCAAGGTAATGGAGTCAGTGCAGAAACTGCACAGGAGAGTGAGTTTACAAGACAGAAAACCTGGAAAGAAGGGAGCTGAACTGTGAACCTAGCTTCCAGCAGCAGAGTCACTATGGTTTGGATATGGAGTGGTCTTGGCTCATGTGTTTGAAGAACTGGGCCCCTGCTAGAAGTACTTTGAGATGTTGGAGAACCTTTGGACATTATGTGCAGCCAGCTGACCAAGAGTTACAGTAGTGGAGCTTATGGGTCATGACCAAGCTGCCCCAGCTTTCTGCTTCACAAGTGGTATCATGACCTACTGCCACACCTTCCCTTAAGTTGTTTCAGTCAGGTGTATCTTGTCACAGTGACAAGAAGCTAATAGAAGAGAGTTGGTTCCAGGCACACAGAGCAGACACAGAAAAGCATGCCTTCATCTTAGGAATGTGTACTTGCATAATGCTGTTTTTAAAAAAAAAAAAATGTGTGGGGCTATGGACAAGGAATCGTCTGCCTAGCACGTACAACATCTAGGTTCAAACCCAGTGCTACCTAAAAGAAGGGGAGGGGTTGTCGGCAGGAATGATTAATGGAAAGTAATGTCTGCAAATCATATCAAGATTTTAAAACAAGTTATGTGTATCCTCAAAGAACACAGGTATAGAGATGTAAGAAAAAAAATTGACTACCCACCTTCTGTCCCTCTCTCACTAACTAACTCTCACAGGGGAGACTGCAGAAGACAGCAAGGGACCGCTGTGCCCAGATCTGCACATCCTGCAGATGAAACATGGGGTCTGCCACTGGACAGTCTGATTCTCTTTAGGCTAGTCCTCTCTCTTATGTCTGTCTGAATGACCTGAGCCTGAGCTGCACACACACCCCCCCCCAAAGAACATGGCTCCCTTCTGGTGGAACCTCTGCATTTAGGTGTCACAACCTCCATACATGCGCACGCACGAACGCACGCACGCACACACACACACACACACACACACACACACACAGAGAAAGAAAGAGAGAGAGAGAGAGAGAGAGAGAGAGAGAGAGAGAGACTGTGCATGGAGCTGATGCCAGAGCTGGGCCATGGATAATCAGGCCAAGAAAGCACAGAGAGACCTTAAGAGGCTGCCCTCAGCTGACATACATGTCTTGTGTGGGCCAAGAAATGGGTGGAAGAGCAGAAAGATTTACAAACATTTCTCAAGGCATGCTTTCTGGAGGACACTTATCCTGACATCGTTAGTCATCACCAAGTACTGCCTCGGTCTCCCCATAGAACGCTAAGTGCACAGTGCTTCTCGGCCATGGTTCTGTTCCCTGTGTTGCCAGTGGTCAATCAAGGTCCAACACACGTTAAACAAATTCTACAAGTAAACATCTCACAAGTCTATCCCTTTCCAAACACAAACCTTATCCATGTCTTTCCCAAGAGACTAGAACAGTGCCTGAGACCTAGGAAACACCATCAATGCAAGAATGAAGAGACTTAACTGAAACGAGTCTTCAAACCATCTCTGGAAGAAAGCTTTTGGTGTAGCTCACTGAAAAGTGTGGGAAGAAAGATGATGGAAAGTGAGAGCTTCTAGTTGGCAAGAGATAGTTCCCTTCATCATCCCGATGAGCCTTGGGATAGCAGAAAGCCTGCCTAGCGACAAGGCATCTGCCTCAAGCAGCACTAGTACAGCCTATCGAAACCCAAATTCCCATCAAGCAAGATGAAGATAATGCAGACCCCAAGAGTTTGGGGCAACTATAAAGATATCCCAGTACTGACCCTGCCTATACCCCCAAGGAGGCTCATATTATTTCTTCCTGGATGCCCATCCCCTCCTTCCTCCTGGTGCCCTTGACTCCAAATGCACAAGATGGTCTGCAGCTTCCTCTAAAGAGAGCAGTGGGGCAGAAAATGCATAGCAGGGTGTACAGAAGAATGGTCCTTACACACACTTCTGCTTCATCAAGCCCTAATGACCAGATTTATTTTCTTTAGAGTCTAAGAGTAGTGTACCACAATAAAGAACACATCTCCAAATGGGCTTCCAAATCAACTGTAGATGGCAAAATTTTACTTCACATTTTAGGGAAAATGGCAGATACTGAATAAATGACTCAATTTTGATTTAAACAGAGACATCTAAAAATCAAAATCTACAAGGAAGAAATTACAATTAGCTACGGTGGCTTCCTGGAGAGCTCTGAAAACCTTTTGTTTATGATAGCAGACAGGTTAAAAAAACACTCCAATATTTGCCTTCAATTTGGTACTTCAACCGCTAAACCAGGGCACCCACAAGTGGCACACAAGCCACACAGCCTGGATGCTCAGTAACTGCCTATTTCTCCCAAGTGGGAAACTATTCTAGGGATCTTCCATGTTTTGGTATAGGGCTTTTAAAATTGCATGAAAACCTGTTCCATGATGAGGATTTTTGATTTTTAAAGAGGCTATGGAGAAACCCAAGCAGAAAACAACCCCCCCTCACCCCACCAAACCCACCACTCCAATTTCTAAGAGAAACTTGAGAGATCATTTGCCATAAATGCAAATGGCTTAGGAGGCAGAGAAACAGCTAAGCTTCCTGCTTGAGACTGCTATCAAAGATCTAGTCAGAAACTTGTATTTTCAATCTACCAATTTTGTGGATGCCACGTTTTAAGAAGTATTTCAGTAAGTATTGATGAGTAATCTTTGCTTCAATTTGGAAGTATTAAAAATGTTTGGTTCAAAATCTTAATGGCAAGTGATACCTTCCATTAAGTATGACGGTTATGTTCCCATGGTGATGGTTGTGCAGGCCTGTGGAAGGATGCCCAACAATGAGACACAGAGTCCAAGACACCCCTCCAGCCAAGTTCACTTACTTGGTAATTTCATTCTTGCTTTTAAGCCCCAATGAATAGAGGAAGCGACTACCTCAATAATTGTAGCTCAGGGCTTAGGAATTTGATGTTGGGTCTCTTAAGAAAAAAAAAAAATCTAAGGAAAACAAAGTAGAAAAAACTTCCTCTAGTGTGCAACTCAGGAAAAATTTCAAACAGTCCTGGGGAGCCAGGGAAAAACTCTAAAGTGCTGCACACCAGGTCAAAGGTCACAGAGTCTCCTCTGAATGTTGTACCTACAAGACCCACTGGTGAAGGTCCTACCGACTCTTTAAGAAGACAAGGAATATACATCTTCTCCAGAAATTCACTGACACAGCACAATGGCTGGCCTTTAAGCAGACAGAGTATGGAAACTGGCATTATTGCACTCAAATTTTTCTAGAACATGCCACTACACTGGGAAGATAAAAATGACTGCACCTCTCAAAGGCAACATGGACATATTAATGTCTTTTCCTTCAGTGTATTTTGGTTCAATTCTTTATAACTTATTAATGAAAGTAATCTAGCTAAATAAGACAATGGTATGCAAAAATCAGTCTTAAACTTGATGTTATAGATAAGTGGAAATGTTAAAAATTGATTAATTAGGGCCAGAAAGATGGCTTAGTGAGTAAAAGCACTTGCCACACAAACCTGGCAACCCATGTTCAATCCCTGGAAGTCATGATAGAAGGAGAGCCCTGCTTTTTGCAAACCATCCCCATACATGAGCAGTAGCATGCATGCAGGGGTGTACACACACACACACTCACACACCACAATCCACAGCGTGGTATAAATCATTCCCGAAAAGTCTGTTGTCATGACTCTTTGCAATATGTGAGTTCTCAGTTGAATTTTAACATATTGGTAACTTGAGAGATTTACAGAATGTTCTTGGCCGAGCATTGGTTCAGACAGGATGACACTGGTACAATGTCAGATTTGTTTAAAAAACAAAGATGCTTTCTAAACAGCATGCTACAGTAGCTGTCGAAACGCCCCTCAACTGTTCTCAGGTCCTAATATAGGACCTGAAAGTTAAACAAGTCCTTTAAGCAGAACTCAGTGAACACGCTAATATTGACCTATACTTCCAGGAAATGGTGTCTCCCAGGATTTTGACTTCCAAGACCAATGAGAATTATGTAACTGTCTTTAAGAGAACTCAATAGCATAAACTTTAATTTCATGAACCTAACATACAGTAGAGGGGCTAAAATTTTTGGTTTTTGAGAGTGGTTGGCCTAGAATTCACTACAGTGCTGTCTTTGAAAAAGAGGAATCCTACTGCCTCAGCCTTTTGAGTGCTGGGACTGACACCCAAATTAAAATCTTTTACCTTTTACTGTCCTAAGTGTTTGTTTGTCCTTGTTTCTTTTCCCTGTATTCTGCTGCAGGTAGGAGCCCCCTCTGTCAGTCATGCAGGAACTCTACTACCCATGAGCCCCTGTGGGTTCAGACACACAGCACACAGCTTACCCACTGCTCATTCCAGACAGTCTTTCCCTTCCCTCTGAACCTTTTTCAGAGTACAAAGCTACTTTACTTGGAGAAACTGCCATGCACACAGAGAACCTTGAGATACATCTCCAGTACCCTAAGCACTTAGTGACTACAGCTTAGGGACTCTGAACAAAACACATAACCCCCACCACAGGATTTATATGCAGCAGCCACAGAAAATATGCATACATTACAGGAAAGAAACAGTCTTGTACTCACTACCCCCCACAAATAATTACTCACTAACCCCCACAAATAATTTCAAAGTGTTAGGTTTTAAATAACTGAACCATTTAATTTTTATTAAGAAAGAGTCAGAAATTTATTATAAGCGGGATAGCCTGTCCACAGAAACACATCTGTATTGTTTCTGAAATGTATATGTAAAAACTTAAAATCTTATTTTTAATGTTAGTGTAACGAAGTTTTCCAAGGATTCCATGATAGCTTACAAACACACCTGGATAGTCAATGTAGGTTCAATGAAGGTTCATGTGGTCCTAAAAAAGCTGGCCTATGGTTTGGACAAATTCTGCTGACACAGACATTTTCTCTAATGTGATTCTTTTTTGTTTTGTTTTTGTTTGTTTTAGCTACCAAGGGAGACACAGTAGTGTCCTCTAGCTCTCTTCAGGTCCTAGCCATCTTCCAAAGTCATAAATCAGCTCTGGGTCTTCCCATGCCTGAGGTAGGCTAGGCTCCTTTTGGCTTCATAGCTCGGCAGTTGGAGAAGTTTCCCCTGGAAACCAAAATAGCAGTGAGAGGCCATGTTTAGAATACAGTACTGTGAGCTTTCTAGAGGCATCCCTTAGACAGCCAAGGTCCCAGTGTCTAGAAGTGCTACTTCTCTTCAGGAAGATGGTCAGGAATGAGTCAGCAAGCTGATGTGAAGCTCCTGTTTTCAGCCGAATGCAACCTGACAATGGGAAAGAAGGTTGGACTCTGTGTTGATACGTCTATGTGGACTTGGGAGCCAAACAGAGCCATCTTGAAGAACTAGAGGGAACCATGATGGAATTGTCTAGGAAGAGGAGCAGCAAAGATGCAGCAGGATTCCAACAAACTCTTGAACCCTTTGTATTCAATGTTTTTATTGTTACCACAGAAAGCATGTGTTTGAGACATGGATCAACTTAAGCTCTCCTTCCAGTACCCTCTTCTTGTGGATGATAAACCACAAAAGTCCAAAGCAGCAAACTCTAGAGACATAAAACACCTCGGATGCTATTAAATGCTATATCCTGGTTAACTAACCTGGTTAACTAACCTGGATCCTTTGCAGCAGAATGGGTCATCAACTCTAGAACACACAAACACAAATGCCTCAGAGGTGACTGGTACTGACATTAATGATGTAACTTAAGAGATTACTTTATGTCTATACATCCAGTTTGTAAATGACAGTCAAATTCATCAAGATACAAACAGCAGGCCACCCAGGAAGCTCTGCTGGTGTCACCCTGGTGACACTCTTCTGTCTACTTAGTCCTAGTGGCAGTGTTTCTTCAAGCCTCTTGACTTCACCTTCAGAGTGAAGCTGTACAGTACGAGATGACCTGCGATTGCACCAAGGAGAGAGGAAGGCTGTTCAAATGGACTTTCGGACAAATTAGGCTTTGAGTGGTGAAAGCCAGAGGCAGTCACTGAACAGGAACAGAAAATGGGGGGGGGGGAATATCCTCCAGCGGGCAACCTCAGAAAGGACTACATACCAGAGAAGCTGAAAAGAATGAAAACGAGTTGACTGGAAATGTTGATGATTTTCCTGAAAATGTGCTTCAAATTCACAAGTCATAACAGAGTCCCAAATCTCTAGTCACTATTACATAATTTAACAAATATATGACACCAAGAACTTACTATCCTGACATAATAAAAAGTCACACTTGAGAAAACTTTTAACAATAATTTGGGGGGGGGCGGTATACTCATGTTAAAAGGCATTACTATTCAACTCTTTATGAAAGAAACATCAATCAACAGAAGACACCACCAGGCCCTATGCCTCAGGCTCCACCTTCTCCACTTGTCCTCGGGAGTGGCCTTTGCAGGATGTGCTCCCTTTCTCCAGGAGGCTTCCATCTTGTGGCTGCAGGTTTCTGTGTGAAGAGGCAGTGGACAGCCTTCAGGCCTGGAGGTCCCACCTTTGGAAGCAGAGAACCACTGAGGGAGGAGATCAAAGTCAGAGCATGTAACAGGACCCCGTATATCAGGGCATCCTCACACACCAATGTCCCTGTCTGTGCAGAAACCGCACAGATATGCTCTGCCATTGTGGCTGGGCTGGTGAAGGGGCCCCAGCTTCCAGCGGATTTCCATGTGGAGTTTCTCTACAACTTCCCCAACTCAGTAGGTTGCTGCTCCACTCACCTTTCTGGGTCCCTCTGTTAATATATGAAACTCAAAGATCTGTACTCTTTGGAATGTGATATGCCACGGCTGTGAAGCACAGTGACCCAGGAGGGACAGACTTCCCATGAGAGACACACTAAAATGCTCTCTAATTTGTACTGTAAGTAAAACAAAATTGAGTACAGTCTTAAAAGTTTGAATTCAGAAGTTTCTGGGAGGTGGCCATTATGACCATACCCATGCCCTCAGATCTCCACTGTACATGACACGCTATACTATTTTGTAAAGTTACACATAGGAACAGAAGTTTTATTGGCAATGTATTTTCTCTAATAGTTAAGATATGTATTTGAAATTAAATTAACCATTGAGCCACAAACACATTTAGCACATGCCAGAATAACTTAAACTCACCATTAGGCAATACTTCAGTATTTTCAAACACTGGCCTCACTACTCTTAAATACCATGGCATGCTCGTGAAAGCTACCCATGGCAACACGGAATGCCTCCTGTCCAACACATCCCAGCATTCTCTTCCCTCCAGGATGAGCTCTGGTTCCACAGATCCACTCTGTGATGTTCCATGTGCTGCCCACCCTCACTTTGTACCATCAGTCTCCTAAGTTTTCTCTTTCTTAAGTCTCTTTTATTTGTACTCTTGGTTTTCAGAATTGAAGGGTCTTTAAAATATTTATTCTGGTGGGGACAAATTTTTTTCCTGGCTGGCTAATTCCTTCTGGGTATATTAGATACCCAGGCCCAATCCATACTGTGGCTAGAACTGGCTAAAAGGAAACTTCTATTGACAGAAATACCATGGAGGGAGAGTTTTTAAAAGCCAGTTGTAACCAGAAAGCAGCTAATAGACAACACATGTGGACATTGATATGTAGCAATTAAAAACAAGTCTACTTAGTGTTTTCCAGTGTTCATCCTATTACGTAAGTATTATGTGATTCATCCCATTGAAAAGGGAGAAGACTGGCGGGAAGAAAGGCAAGGAGAGGAAATGGTGTAATTGAATTTTAATTAAAAGGGGGCCACTGGCAATAGCATAGCCCTTCAGTTTCTGAAAACCTCTACAGAAATCTGAGGGTAACTGTGGCTACAGGCATGTGAGGACTCCAGGAACAATGGACAAGTCACCAATAATAAAATGCACCACAAACTCTACTGAGCTACTTACTATTCAGCATCTCCAGTTTCCTGCATTTTCTTCATCCTTCCAAGTTTTTCTAACTGTGGTCTTTACAATCACTATTCGCCAGTCAGGGTGTAAAGAGCAGGGACACATTCATATTGACCACTGAATGAAGAGTAGGGATGCACTCATATTGACCACTAAATTAACTAAGCTCCAGAGTTAATTACTGAAGTAACTAAGCATCCTCAAGTCTTTGAATTCCAGCAGGTGCAGAGGAGGCAGGCAAAAGACAACCAACCACCAATGACTACAGACACTGTAATATGTGCTTCATACCACACATCCATCTGTCGGTGGTTGAATACTCTCCCACCTACATTCTACATGAGAGAGGCCCACACTTGGAAGGGAGCCAAATCTGTTGATTTTTGTTGTTATTGTTTAGGAAAATTAGTCCTTCCAGGAAACTGAGGCCTTTCATGGTCTCTCCCCTTTGCACAGAGCATGAAGCCCTTCCCACTAACTTTTCCACCTCACAGGAGGGAGAGAGGAAGGAGGTGAGAGCAAACAGCCTTATTCCCTCAATGTGAGCACCTCTGGTTGATAATAGTGTCTAATTTTAAAAACTGGCAGCATTGGCCACACATACATTTATAAAAACAAAACAAAACCTACATATTCTAATGCAGACTTTGTGAGATGATTTCCAGGTAGAAATTCTGTAATTACTACATTTAAGATTGTCACTTGATCAATGATCCCTGTGATCTAAGCAGCTCACATTGCAAGGTAGGTAGGCAAGAAAACCAGCGACACAAAGCACGACAGGAGGAACCCCACATTGCCCAGAACATGAGAGGTCCACAGAGAACCTCCAAAGCAGACTGTCTCCAGAGCACAGCACTCAGACAGGTGACAATCCTGAGACGCACCTGTCAGCTTCCAAGTACAGAGTTCCTTTACATACATATATTAGTCTACTGATTCACCTACCAAAACATTAAAATATGAAAACAACATAATTTCCAAGGCTCCTACATATTTCCAACATTCAACTTAGGGATCCAAGATTCTGAACATGCCATCACCAAAAAAAATTGCAAACCTAAAAAACAAAAAAGGGAAAATAAATTAAACAAGGGCAAAAGAAAAGACTTTTTCAGAAAAGGTCAATATATATAAATTACAAAATGTTTCAACATTAATGCTTTACTTGTGTAACAAGGGCTCTTAAGCTTTACTTCAAAACAAAGTGGTTTCCACACAGCAAAACAAATATGCAACTAGACTCACAGGTGCCACCTGCCTGTTTAATATTTGCTGGGTCAACACCTTTTCACACTTATAAGTCTTTAATGGCACTAGTCCTGTCCTTCTCTTTTGGAAGTGGTCATCGTTCGAAGACACGGAGGTGCATGAATGAAGCCACGGGCTTTTTCTTGAATAATTCACATGTTTAGAAGCTACTTTTTAGCTGAGTGACAATGGCTGGTGTTTGTCCTCAAGTGCACGAACTTCTAGCACTTAACATTAAAAATACACCAAGTTCTAACCTCAAAAGGGGCCAGCATAATCAAGCGTGCCTGCTTTGCTTTCTTTTTTCTATTAAAAAAAAAAATCAAAATGAACAAACCAACCAAAAAGCCTGTTTGTTTTGGGTAATAAGAAATCAGGGTGTGTGTGTGTGTGTGTGTGTGTGTGTGTGTGTGTGTGTGAGAGAGAGAGAGAGAGAGAGAGAGAGAGAGAGAATGAATTATTTTTCATCACTATGCAGCCCTGGCTAGCCTAGCACTCTCTGTATAGACTAGAACTCAAAAAGATTGATGTGTCTCTGCCTCTGGAGTGCTGGGATAATAGGCGCAGGCCACTAAGCCCAGCTACAGATTACAATTTCTAAACATACAGGCATCAGCAATGCCAGTAACTGTTTCTCATTAAGACCTTTTCCCACACCTAGGGAGTCTCACATGTTGCTATGCTTCTCAAGTGCTGGGACTATGACTACAGAAATATACAGTCCTGCCCCTTCTTACTAAGACATTGTTAATATACAAAAATGAACCATGACCAACTCCTCTACTATGGTTTAGAAACCATGCCACTTAAGGCCAGAGCATTGTTCTATAGAAAACCAATAGCTCAGAGTTCTCCCTTCCAAGAGAAGTGTAACCCTGTATACAGGAACAACCCACTAGTACTGCTTTTTTCTAAAACAGGGTAAGATTGGCCAGTGAGGACAAGCTGAGACACAGACAAGAGTGCAGTTCTCCTGGGTGACCCGCCAGTGCCAAAGCTCCAAGCGCAGACTTTGGTGCATGTGAACAATGCTCTCTCATCATAAAATGTCCAATGTGAAGGGAATTCTTCCCTGAATCTTGCCACTCTCAACATGGAAGATTACAGGCTGAGGACATACTACAAACATGAAACAATGCACAGAAGTGCTGATGGGTGTCCATGAAAAGAAACATGGCATTGCTTTAAAACAAAACTGTCCACCGGGTAACAAAAAACTTGGAATTTGCCTTCTACATGACCACTGAGACTGGGATGAAATTTGCCCCCTCTCAAAGCTCAGTAATGAAGCACCTTCATGACTTGGGCTAAAATGCAGCAAACTTGTCAGGTCATTTTAGAAGCTAATGGGACTGTATCTAGTGCAGGATATGAAATGACAGATAATCCCTTCTCTGAGTTAATGGCTTAGGACACCTTTTGAATATGAGCAAAGAATCTTAGTCTCTCCCAGAATCAAACTATTCCTTTCTCTCTCTCTTTTTTTTTTTTTTTAGTTTGTCTGTCTGTAGACCAGGCTGGTCTTGAACTCACAGTGATCTGCCTGCCTCTGCCTCCGGAGTGCTGGGATTAAAGGTGTGCACCACCACTGCTTGGTGCCTATTCCTTTCTCTAAGCACTGTTTCTTTAACAAACTAAACAGGACTTGGTCCATGAGAATAAACTGAACAAGAGAGATGACACCTCCCAAGATTAACATATATGCATTATACATACAGATAAATATCCCAGAGTTCTACTCCCTTCCACTATAATCTATATAAATACATAAAACATATTTAACATTAACAATTAAAACAGAGCTGACTGATATACGTAAAATAATTAAAGAAGAAATAACTGACCCTCAAAAGGAGATTTAACTTTTGAAAATATATCCCAGAACACCTGGGCAAGAATTCTTTCTTTTGAATATAAAATACTGGGAAGCCTAGATTCCCTTTGTTCAGGAGAAAATTCTACCTGGTTTTCATTATGCAAATTTCTAGGGATTCAGGGCTTTTCATGTGGCATATATTTTATTGCTACCTAAGAAAAACAAACAAAAACAAAAACAGTTTTATACACACCTAAAATGTTTGATTTGCCTGTGATTTTCTGATGTTTTTGCTGCTATTGTTACCAGTCTAGAGAAAGAACATCAGTAAGTTAAGGACTTTTACATCTTCCAGGGGGAGGCTTTGGGTGGTGGTGGGACAGGTGGGGACATGAGGCCCCTCTCCATCCCTTAGATTTTGCCATTACCATTCTGTGTGGAGGGCTTTCAGGACCAGGTGACTGCACACGTCTAGAAACCGGATGACCTCAAACCATCTCATTTCGGCTAAGGCCTCATGCCTTTTGCTTAGAGCTAAAAATAAAAATATATGTGAATGAGCAAACAATCGTGAAATGAAACCTCTGACATGACACTCAAATACAAAGTACCCGAAGCAACTTTCTCAGAAAAATGAAAGCGCAAACATTTGCACGCAGCACCGGAGCTCTTGTCTCCCTGGAAAGCTTCCTTCTATCCTTTTAAAAGCTGGAACAATCACTGACCTCCAAAGTTTAATCTACAAAGCCAAAGTAGCATTTCACTCATTTCCTCAAATTATGATACATTCATTTTTATGTTTAAGTTAATGATACTAATGAAGTTAACAAATTTTACTTATAAAACATGTATTTACACATATATCAATACCAGGGCAAGAAAGCAAAGTGCAGTATTGAGAACAACAGTCTGACAATAAGAAATAAGAGTTTTTCAGAACTCCTGGTTTCAACAGCAGTACTGAAGTATATGGAAACTGTGAGGCTGCTCCAGTGAAAGCAAGCATTGCTTATCCAAGCAATGATGTGCCTGAGCGCTAGGCAGCAAAGCTAAGTACACAGATGGGGTCCCAGCCACCCATGGGGCAGTAGGGGCTACTGCTTCCACCAGGAAGGATAGCACAATCCATGAAGTAACAGCAAGAGACCACGAACTCAAACAAAGCCCACCAGGGACCCCAAATCTTTCTGCTCCAATCACTAACTCTAAACTTCAGGACCAAGCATGATTTTCAAAATCCTACATTAATCTTGGAATTCATTCTTCTCATGGAAAACTTGGGTAGCCCTGATCCCAAACATGTTTTGGGCTATTTTTGAAGATCAAAATAACCAAAAGCCACTCAGTACTTTCGTCAGCTGGAGCTGTGACTTAAAATTTAGAAATCAGGTTGCCAGCCCTCCCTATTGTATAACAAAGACAAGTAGCTTATGGGTTTTCATTCCATTCAAAAATGTCATGAAGTTAAATGTAGCTCCTAAGTTAGCAAGTAGCATCTGCAACAACATAATTATGGGGTATTTCACGTCTGTCTGCTGGGTCTTTGTATCAATGACATTTCTTTAATTCTGAAATTCAAATGAAGGTTTCCTTCATCTTGCAACAAGAGTGGTCAACACAATTTAAGTTAGCTCATCTTCCAGAACTTTTCATGAGGTCCAACTAAATTTAAACTCTAATGCTAATATGCTAGATTCGTTTGACACTAAAGTTCACAGTCTTGTGCTTTAAAGCAATACACCATAAGTTATGATTAAATATTTAGAATACCTATTGGGAAAATCTAAATTCTGGTCATGGACAAGTCTTAAGCAAATCTGACCAGACCTATGCTCATGTGGTTCTCTACTCTAATGCAAATTTGAAACAAGGAAATCCCGCAAGTTCCTGTTTGCAAGCAGCCCATCAACATCTTTTTTATACTCTAACAATTAAAGCTTGCCTGAAGATCAGAGGGTGGAACTAGCCACTACTTAACCATAGAGGTCTGGGTCTGTACAGACAGACAGGAAGTGATGATAAGGTGGGAGGAGACAGGAGCTCGGTCTCTTTTGGCTGGGAAGTTGAGGAGGTAAGGTGTGGCTGTGGCTTGCTCCTTCTTCTCTCTGATCTTTCAGCATTTCCCCCTATATCTGACTCTGGGCTTTTATTATTAAGACCTATTAGAACCCATGCTACACTTCCTCCTTCCCCATATTATAGGGCCCTCTTAGCATCCTGAAGTACATTCACAGAAGATGTAATAAACAGGTGTGCATTTCTGCTTTAAGCCTAAAAATGTTTACTACCTAAAACTTCCAAACCTGGCCTGCATCAACAGAAAAGCTATCATTCAGCCTGCAGCTCTTCCTAACTCACCTTTCTACCAATCTCTGAGGCAGACAGGTATGTCTGGGAAGCTCCATTTTCCTCCCCAGAGCCTACACCTCCCTTAGGTTGGTTATCCATTTTTGTGGCACAGTCACAGCTGTATGCCTGCCCCATTCTCTGCATCAAGTGTTAAGTGTTTTTTGTTTTTGTTTTTTTGAGACAGGGTTTCTCTGTGTAGCTTTGGAGCCTATCCTGGCACTCAATCTCGAGACCAGGCTGGCCTCGAACTTCACAGAGATCCGCCTGCCTCTGCCACCCGAGTGCTGGGATTAAAGGCATGTGCCACCAACACCCCACGTTTAAGGTTTTTTTTTTTTAATTCAAATTACAATCCACAACAACAAACACCAGGACTGATTACACACCATGTGTTTCAATCCCATAATTTAACTATCTTGACTTTGGTTGCAGCCTTTGATGATAGGCATTTTGACATCTGAGAGCACAATTTAGCTTTCCTTAGTTTGGAGGGAAAACCTGGTCTCAAACTTCACAGACAGGGCTGACCTTGAACTTGTGGCCTCCCATCCCAGCTTCCACCTCCTGAGTACAAGGTGAGTGCTACTATTACACCTGGCTTACACTTGGTCTTAAATTACAGTCACATAAAACTCCGTTTGAAAAAAAAAAAAAAAAAAAAAAAAAAACCCCTTTTAAAAAAAAAAAAAAAAAAAAAAAAGCCCAGGCATTGGTAGTCCCAGCACTCAGGAGGCAGAGGCAGGGGGAATCTCTGTCAGTTCAAGGCCAGCCTGATCTACAGAGCAAGTTCCAGGACATGCTCCAAAGCAATACAGAGAAACCCTGTCTCAAAACAAAAAACAAAAACCATTTGCCTTGTCAGGAATGTCACAATGGCTTCCATTAATATGGGATCAAGGTATTCTAATGAGTTAGAGAAACTTTAACAAACCACAGAATCAAAACTCCAAAAAACCTAACCTTCAAATTATGTTACAGAAGAGGAAAAAAATTGCACAATGAAGACAGAATATTTTCAGTAAAAAACAAAGAAGAAAATTTCCCAAACCGATAGATGTCTCCAGGTAAAACTGGCCTACACAACACCACTAGCAATAAAGAGTGCAAAAAGTATATAAACTCATAGAGACTAAAAACCATGGTAGTGAATGATAACTGGATCACTGAAGAAAAGAAGGACATTTAAAAATTCCTAGAAATGAGTGAAATGAAAACACAGCATACCAAAACCCATGGGACATAATAAAGGTGATCCTAAGAGGAAGTTTACAGTACTGTGCCTACATCAAAAATTTTGAGCAATCTCAAATTAATAACTGCATGCCTCAGAAAAGCAAGAAACAACATCCAGAAAAAGTAAATAAGAGGAGATAACCAGAACTGGGGCAGAAATTAATGAAATAGAAATGAAAAATACTAAGAATTAATAACATGGAAAGTTGGTTCTTTGAAAAGAAACAAACTTGTAGCCAAATCCACAGAAAGAGAAAGAGAGACACCAAGTTAATACAATTAGAGGTTAAAGGGTGACATTACAACAGGCACTGAGGAAAGCCAGAATCTCTAAGGACATACTTTAAAAATGCACATTCTACTAAACTAGAAAATGCAAAAGAAATGGATGATTTCTAGATAAAAAACCTACCCAAGTTTGAAAAAGATGAAGCAAATAATTTAAACATGACAACCAATGACATAGAAGCAATAATTAAAATTCTCCCAACTAAAAAAGTCAGGGGCCAGATGGACTGGCCCAGAATTCTACCAGACCAGGAAGAAGTAATGTCAACACTCCTTGAGTTAGTCTGTGCTAAATAAATAAATAAATAAATAAATAAATACACTTCCAAGTTCTTTTTACAAAGCCAGAAGCACCCTGATACCAACACCAGACAAAGACCCAACAGAAAAGGGAATTATAGGTCTATCTCCCTGATGAACATAGATACAAAAATTATCAACCCCATACCTGCAAATAAAGTTCAGAAACAAATCAAAAAAATCATCCAACATGATCAAATGGGCTTTTATTACAGACATGCAGGGATGAATTCAACATCAATAAAGTAATCTGCCACATAGACTCAGGGACACAAAGCACATGATACCTCATTATATGTAGAAAAAAACTGACAATATCCAACATGCCTTCATGGTTTAAAAAAATCCTGGAGAATATAGTTATTAGGGATATATCTAACATAATAAAAGCAATGCACAAAAAAGCCAATCTAGACCCCAAACTCTTAGTTTCTGTACTAGATCCTTCTGATTTCTTCTCTCCTATAAGTGAAAATATTTAGACACTTCATAGAACAGGCATACGGTGGCATTACTGTCAACATACAAATGGCCAAAGAAAACAATCATAATGCCTACATGAAGCTGCCACCTCTCATGCTGCTGTAGAAACATGCCCTGGGCACATCAGCAGGTGCATAGATGCTGCTGCTGAATAGGGACATAAGCCATTTGCTTCCATGAAGCAGGGTAAAGGGTAAGGATGAGAAAAGAAAAGACAGGAAAGAAACATTGTGGATGGCTGTCTGAGAAGCTGTTATCCCAGAAGAAACAGCTTTTCACTTCATGATTCTAGAGTGTAATTTCTGTATCATGAACAATTATTACTTTTCTAGCAAAATATTTCCCTGGGTACTTTACTAAGCATTTCAAAAATTCTACAAATTGGGTTTCTGAAGATGGACAGAAACTGTCAGCTCTTAGTCAGGTCTACTGTGAGCCACTGTGGACATGAGAATTCATGCCCAGCCAGAGAGAAGCTTGGGTGTCAAAGAGTGCTGGATGGTAGCTGCTGATATGGCCTGGCCACCATACTTCTTGAATCTGGCCATTTCTTGCTTCTTCCAATATCTTTCAGTGTGCACAACCCAAACTAAGCAAACTGATGCTACAGGCTCCAGTACACACAGGGCATGTCACAGGGCATGGCTTTTGACTTCCAAGGTAACAAGCTATTTAATAGCACAGTGTGGGCCACAAGGTTAGTGATAATCATGGAGCAAATCTTCCACCCAGAGACACAACCAACCCAGAAATGCCATGCGGTTACCAGACCTCTCAAAAATGGCAAACTCGATGGGCGTTGGTGGCGCACGCCTTTAATCCCAGCATGCCGGAGGCAGAGGCAGGTGGAACTCTGTGAGTTCGAGACCAGCCTGGTCTACAAGAGCTAGTGCCAGGACAGCCTCCAAAGCCACAGAGAAACCCTGTCTCAAAAAACCAAAAAAAAAAAAAAGAGAAAAAAAAATGGCAAACTCTAACCAGACATCTCTGCAAGTATCCCATTTTGCCTTGTTCTAAGACACCTACCTACCCTTACAAATGGAATACAGGGCTAGAGCCAAACTTCCCAGTAAAATGCCACTGGAGAAAATCTGTTTCTCACGTAGAAAGCCAAGCAAAACATGCTGCAGAAAGCCCCTTGTTGACCTCACAGTCCTCAGAGCTGCCCCAAATCAACACTGAACAACAGACCTTAACAGAGGATGGCAGGAAGTGAAAGTGTTCTCCCTCATCTCAAATCAATACAAGCCTCTTCTCTCAGGCTTGCTGCCCACCTCTCAAGTAGACTTCATCCCATACACTATTCCATCCCTTCCTTCCCTTCCCATCCTTCCTTCCATCCCATAAGCACAAGCGCACTGCCAGACCCAAGAACAACCAACCCACAATCTCCTCCCCTGCGCACATCGCCAACTTCTTGACTGACATGTTCCAATGGCATCTAATCACTCATTAAGTGTTTACTGGATAATGACAATACACCAGGGCTTTGTGAGTAAAATGAGATTGCTAGTGATTTCTGCTGTCATTGCACAAACCATCAGGCAAAATCACAGGTTTGAAATGTTCCGTTTCATAAAGGAAAAGTATCTAGGGATGAAGGGAACTCCTGAAAGACTTCATTTGAACCCCACTGCCCTTCTGCCCTGCCTCTCTGGGACCAGTTGTTCTTTTAGGTCCCAGTTCACACACAATCCTGACTGGAGACTAGGAAGACCTGTGTCTGAGTTGAGACCTAACGGCTGGATAGGAGGTGGCTAAGCCGAGAGTCTGAACAGTAGCATCCCAGGGACCTGGACCTTTGAGTCGTGAGACCAAAATGTGGTATCTTGGTACATCAGGTTGGATGATGTGGGGACAACTTTGAAGAAAATAGGCCCTAACCCAAGTGACAGCCACAGGCAACAGAGAAGGCTTGGGCTGTCACCCTCAATGCAGGAGCTGAACTCTGTACCCTCACCTCTTGCTCTTGGGTGTCCCTCTGTCCCCTAAGGCCAGATGAGTGCTCTCAGACACAAGAGCTGCTCAGATGTCACAGCTCCTGCTGTACTTTGGAAATGCCTACTGACCTGAACCTGAAGTAAAGGATCTTGCTGGCTTTGTCTCCATCCCGCAGTGTCTCTCAACAGTTACACAGCATTCTGCACATGGGAAGTGTTCAGAATTTGTAGACTGGATGGACCAGCCTCAGAAGGAAACTATTGACGAGCAGTATCAACACAAGAATGAAACCTTGCTGTGATATTCCTTGGGCTCTGACAAAACACTTAGGAACTCCAACAAGAAACTCCTTTGAACAAATCCCCATTTACAGCCTGACTTTTTGTGTCACTGCCCTCTGTGTGGACCAATCCCTGTATATGATAA